CCTTCAGGTTATTGTTGAGAAGAAACTGATCTATGTCTGATATGTTTAAAAAGTAGATAGATTACTCAAACTACTATGGGAAAAGTCAAGTCCTAAAATCTATGTTTTGGAATCTATTTTCTGAGATTATGTGCTTTAAAAATTAGATGTGGTGATTATGAAGGATGTAATATGTTGAAGCCCGCATTCCTAATGCTTCACTTACATGTTGAAAGCCCAATTTATTGGATTCGGTGCCTTTGCTTTGTATTTCTTTTTCTTTTCTTTGGTGGAGATGAATGTTAGAATGGAGACTTAAGCGAAGCTTAATATCAAGTTTGGGGTAACGGGAAAGAGGGGCGGGGGGAAGAGGAAGGAAAGAATGGAGTCTAGAGTAAGGTTTCACCTTGGACAATTTATTTTCACACCCTCTTTTAGTTATTTGAACTTGGTAGTTTACTATTACAAGATAGGAACTATTGGGAGAACCACATAATAGGACGGGAATGCCAACTGTCCAAAAACCCCATGTCAAAATCTCAATATTTCTAATGCGAGGCTTAGTCCTATACCTTGCAATTGGTGCTAACATACCACCATGCTTCATATTTTCTACACTCATGTCATGCAAGCTAGCTTTGCACTAGCTTTCTAGTCCCTGACTAACACTACCTTTCTATAACTTATCCTTTACTAAAAACGATAGTAATAAAGGGGACAATACGCTGAAGACAACATAAGATCCTTCTGTTTCTTCATACCACTCTGGTCTGTGTCACAGGATCAAGTAATTGTGGTGAAGCAAGAAGCTCAGCTGGTAATCAATTGTTGCAGGAAAGAAGCAATCAGGACGCTGAGGGTTCCTCTGGGACAAAGTCAAATGAGAATGAGACCAAAACACCAAGTGAGGTGGAGAATCTATCAAGAAAACCTCATCATGGCCCAAACAGGGGGAGGGAAATTGGGTCAAATTCAATGGAAGACATGCCTTGTGTTTTCACGCAAGGGACTGGTTCCTAATGGAAAGAGAATTGAGGGAATCTTGTACAGATAGGTAGAGGGCAGGAAGTGAGGATTATGTGTGTATGCCATGGAAACTTTCTTTCTCCAGCAGAGTTTGTGAGGCATGCTGGTGGTGGTGATGTCGCTCACCCACTTCGGCACATTGTGTAAACCCTTCCTCTACTCCTTATTTGTAATGTGTGACACATTTGATGAGTAAATTATTTTAATCAGGTAGCCTCTTTTCTCGTGTCAAATTTTGTTAGGCTCTTAGATCTTAAACATGTTATACATGTAACCTTGCCTTTCTTGAAGAGAATTCTGAGGTTCATCACTTTGGGATCTTTGCCTGTTGATGATGATTTTCCCTTTACTCTTTTCTTTTTTTATTTCACAAAAGGCACCTACAATCTGAATCATATTATGGATACACTCGGAAGTTTCAATGTTGGTTTTTAAGGATGATGGAGAAATATGCAAGAAATCCTGCTAGTCAAGATATCCCAACTCTAGATACATTTAACGCAAGCAATTTTTAAAATTGCTGGAGTGGCATATCAGTAATTTAATTTCACTTTCAACATAGGTTATTATGTTCAAAATTTTACTTGCTCGGCTACTCGTTTACAGCACCAAAAAAAAAAAAAAAAGTCAGAAAACTAATATTTACTTATGGGGGTGCTAATTGCCACAGATGATAAAAAAAAAGTTATTTACAATTTCCTCAAATTTACTCGAGATCAGAGATCCTAAGCTGCCATGACCCCCAAAAACGAAGCTCTCCTAGGAAACACGGATTTCCAGACGTCAGAGACATAGAACAGAAGAATCCACAAATGAGAAGCTCTTGAATCTTAAGACGAGTCGTAAAATATCCTCATATATGCGAATTGATATCTGATCATACCTGTAAGCTAATAGCTATGCCAAATAAGGCTTGGGTTATCCCATAATACATAACCTTAACAACGACAACTACAACACTTGCCCCGTGTCCAACAAGAGGACCAAGAGAAGCACCATAACCAGTTCCAACGCTTGGCAGTAGAGCGTGATGCTAGTTCAGATGCATCTTCTTTTGGGGGAACATAGGGTTCTTTTTCTGAATGCCGTGGGGAAACGTCTGCCTTGTGGGCGCTGAATCTGTCCGCTTCTATCAAACTGCAACAATTTCAAAACAGGTCATACCGATTTGCTTCTACAGCTTGAGCTGAATTTAAAAGGACTTACTGAGAATTTCCGGACAGCAACACTAAATAAAAAAAAAAAAAAAAAAGCTCAAGAGCAAGACAGATAACAAGGACACACTTATAATAAAAGTAGTTAGACTAAACACAGTAAATTAAATGGACATGAGTTAACAGAAGAAGAATAGAATAACTAGAAAGTGTCTTAATTCTTAAATTAGATGCATGAGTAGAGAGTAAAACATTCATAGGTTAAGAGAAGCATGGTATTACTATCTTTCATGGTCGCAGTTTTAACTGTCGCAAAATGCTCAGCTGCAAGTAAACTAGTAACAAGTTGGCCTTTAGTAGTAATAGTAACAACTTGGCTATTCATAGTAGGAGAACCTGCTTCTACTATTCGAATGATAGACCAATGGCCATGGATAATTTTTTTTTTTCTGCAATGTAAAAGACGTATAGTTCTCATTGACCTTATTAAATCTTTGGGATTCTATCTAACACGTTTTCATGTGAACAGAGGCTTCACGAGCAAACCTAATGTAAACCGTGACAGGACAAGGATAGGTGCAAGACATAATTAATATAGAAGTAGATAAATAGTTCTGTACAGAACACATCAAAGTTTTCTGCCTCAGTAAACTAGTATTTATAACATTGTTCTGACATGTAGAAAGTAGCACAAATAATGTTCGGAACATAGAAAAAATAGACTCACATTGGGAAAGCAAAAGAGCACGTACTGGTTCCACTACAATGGGAACGACCAGAGACGTTGCGAGAATTACAAATTGTATCTGGTTGCGAACTCTTTGCCTTGTTTTTCTCTCCGTTCGACCTGTTTTCTGACTCAAAAGCTTCATCTAACATGTTATTTGTTAGCAAGTCTTCCTTATCAACATTCTCATGGTCTAATTCTATGTCCTCTGGTATAACAAATGAGGGTTGGCTACGAAGCTCACCAGACTTTGTCAATTCTCCAGACTTGTATAAATCATCGAACGCAGAGGCATGATCTCGAGAGAAACTATAGTTCCCTAGGTGAATGCTAAACAATGATTCATTAGAAGCAGTACTCCATTCTATTGGAGATGTATTATTTCTTGCAAATATTGAAGATGGAATCCTGTTAGGATCATATCCTCCCGACAGGTCCATCACTTGGACTGGAGGGCTTACTGGTGGTGGTACACATGTTGAGGTGGGAACTGGAGAGTTTTTGTCATCACCTTCAGATGAGGAAGAGCTATGACTGGAAATATCATTATTCTGTTGATTTTTTGATGCAGGTCTAGATGTCTTAGACTCAAAATCAACCGTCTCTACTTCAAAGACATCGTTTAATGATGATTCTGATGAAGAGGAAGAACCTGACCTTCTGACTGGCTCCCATATACCTCCAGTGTCATTGGCATGTGTCTCAGGGCAATTGCTTTCATGACCTTCCAAAGCTCTTTCACCGCTAGCGATAACATCTATTTGTCCTTCTGAACCTGTACTGCTTCTAATTCCATCAATTACCTCAGGTTTTGAGTGGGAATGTTTGCTGCTTCCACTCCCAGAAGAAGGAGATTCTGGACATGTTTTACATGCTTATCATTTTTTCTCTGATTAAATGTGTCCGCATACATTTCTAAACGCTTGCTATTTCCTTTCCCTGCAATAAAACCCTGCATTAGTGCCTGATTTCTTAGAATAAGCTCTGCCTTATATAGATCAGTCTAATATTTGGAAGTATTTCTCAGGTAGACCCACTCAGCTACGAGCTACCCATCGTCGGGCGTTAAAGTACAGTACACATAAGCAATAATGACCTTAAAAATTCATCACTTTATGCAGATTTCAGAGTTCAATTGAATGCAAGAACGAAAAATGCCATCATATTGACGATATCATTGTTATCCTCGTTTAATTTACTTTCTCCCATTGTTGATGCCCCTAAGGGAATGTCTAATTTCTTTATTCCAACCCGAGATATCATATTCATTCATCGATCATGGAATATTTTCCTTGCGTACGGAGCAAACAAGAACAATGAAAAGAATATGACCATATTATCGGAATAACTTACTGATTACGTCAGGATGCTGAAATTCCAGTCGCCGGAAGAGGCACCGTTCAATCAGCAGTTCCTTTATCCCACATTTCTACAAAAATATGAATAATAAGAAATCGTGGAAACTGGAAAGGGATTGAAAATCTTAGATAAAAACATTAGAAAGTCGTAAAAACCATTTATTCATGAACACAAAACAAAGAAAAATTAATGGACCTTATGGAGTGAACTATCTGAGGAACCGATTTTGATTGAGGATCCTTCTTGAAGTTTATGATTTGTTGCCCAGAATTCTTCGACTCTCAGTTTCGATTCCAACAGCGCAAAACAAGTTTTTTTTTTTTTAAAAACTAATTTCAAATGAGAAAGTAGGGTTTTATTGGGAATGTGATGCCGAAAGGTCTTGCGACATTATCGCCGTGTCCCAAAATCCGATTTCCATGTGTAACGAACTACTCTGTATCTTCGTTTCGCGCCATATCTTCATTTGCGTACGTCTCCGTTGCAGTCGTGGAGGCACGATCTGGCACTAGCTGCGCCCGTTGTTTTCTTCACATTGACTAATCAGATGACGCCACGTATGACAAAAACATGCATGGCACTTGATTGGTCTAGATTCCAAAATAATCGGTTCTCTTTGATGTGACGTAAGATCAAGGAATTGTTGGCCGTTAGTGAAGCAAAATTGTCTGGTTTTCATAAATAAATTTTAAATATTGAAATAAAAATTATAATTATGAATTAAAAAATTTTAACCATGAATTTTTTTCCTAAATATTATTTTAAATTCATGAATGCGTTTTGTTTTATTTTTACACTCAATTTTTAACTAATAACAAGTTAGAGAAACTAAAATTCTTGACCATCCATGTGCTAATTAGGAAGAATAACATACTTACCCTCATGCTTATTATCCAAATTCCAAAACTCCAGCCATATCACGACACTGTATTTTCTTTACAACTCAATAATCTAACCATGAACTCCACACTTAACATTGTTTAGCTCTAAAAAGTTAAAAAAAAAAAAACGAAGTTCATATCATCTTGAAAAAGCCGCCAAACAATCATGGAGTAATTGGATGGATTGGTGATAAAAGGAGGTTTGTTTAAGATTAAAAAATAGTTAACTTTTGGATAGTTTAGAAATTCTATGAAAAAAAAATTATTTAAGTGATTTTATAAAAATAAGATATTGTTTTATATTTATTCACAATAATAAAAATAATTATTTAATTAGTTATTTTAAATTTTATGATTCCTTTCTTGATTTCTGCTTTGCAAAAATTATTAGTTAATTGTTTTAAAATTTTATGATATATTCTTAAATCTTATATTTTTAAAATATTCTTTCTCATCTATCATATCAAATTGTTTTCAAAAGCCACTTAAGGTAACTTATAAAAATAATCATATACTCCCTCCATTTAAATATATAAGGTATTTTGAGGAGTTAAGTATTCAAAAATATAAAATATTTTTAGTCTTTTGAGATGTGATCATTGCCTTTTTTTTTAAAGTATCCTTAATAATAATTTTATATTTATTGTAGAATGTTTAATAGGGGTAAATATAAAAAAAATAAGATTAGTTTAAAAGTAGGTAACTACTTTATTGGGGGTGAAATTCATTTAAAAATGTCTTACATTTTTGAACGAAGTAAGTATTTGCTTTTTTCCCATATTTTGATCATTTTAAAAATTTTAAATAAACATAATAAAAATTCACAAAATATATTTTTAAAAAATAATTTTCTCATTAAAAAAGCTAAAACAAACAGGTAAAGCTAAACATGTCATCATAACATGGGGAATTTTGAAGGCAAGTGTATGAGAGTGCATTGGTTTTGTCCTTAAGAAACTTGATTATTAGTTCATATACTTGTTGGGAAAGAATCTATACTTTAATTTAAAATAAATACGGCTCAAGTTAGAAAGAAATAATAAGATAGGAATGAGCTCCATTTGTGTAGAACCCTTGTAAAGTTGAGTCTATTTCTCTCTTCATCTCTCTCATTCACTTTAACTTCGCATTTAAATTCTTTTAAATATTTTTTTCTGTAACAAATATTTAGTACTAGTAGTACTGACTAATTTAGATGTGAGTACCTTAAGTCTTTAAATAAGGATAAATTTCTTAACATAGTTAAGAGATATACTCTATCTATTTTAAAACATAGGTGCCTTTAAAAAAGAAAATTTTATTTTGTTGTATATATCCATTTTAAAATTCAGTGCAGCCTCTATTGATGCTTTTCTGATTATATACTTATTTTATTTATGATCTAAACGCAACATTTATAGGTATATTTATTCTTTTATATTTTATTTACCAAATGCATGAATGAAAATATGTATATATTGAATTGCTATATGTTGATCTAATTCTAAATTGCCACTTACTATGAGAAAAAGGCAATTTCTTATTATATTAACTTTTATAATGACTACTAATAAAAGTTAAGGCCTCAACATATGTCATATTAGTTTATATCTACTTCATCTTGTTTTCAACCACAGCCAATTGTACAGTATTTTTTGTGTGTTTAAATGGGAAATGTTTAAAAATATTATTTCTTGATTGACATGATCACTTCACAAATAGAACTTCTATTGTGGTTTATAAGAAAATATTTGGTAACTTGATTTAAAAAATTATATTTTTTTATTAATCTACTTTAGTTATATCCACAATATGTTTTTAGTTTTTATTATTTGTTTTACTCTAATATATATATTTAATAGGCTAAAATGTATAAAGCCTATCTAAATTTTGAGAGGGTTATACATGACCCTTCCATACCTTTAAACATTTAAAATTAACCTTCTTAACCATTATTTTGTTTCTTTGAGCCCCTTACATGTTATTTATTAATTAATAATATTTGAGGCAAACTCTATTAATAACATAACGTAGTTAGGGATAAAATACTTTGACCCCTCCTTTATTTTACCTTAATTATAGATACATCCTTTTTATTTTCAAAACATATACGAACTTCTCCTAGTATGAATATTTACAAATATAAACATCCTCCGATAATTTTTGTAACATCCCAATTTAAATTTTAATAGTTAATTTGGGTTAATAAAAATTAAAAAAAATAATATTTAGAGGTAAAAAAATTAGTAAGAGAGATTATTAAATCTAACTTAGGATATAATTCTAAAAAAAATTTAAAAAAAAAAAAAAAAAATAATTAAAAAATAAAAAAAATATTATTAAATTATTATTATAATAAAAAAGGGAAAAGGTATTAAAAAAAGGAGGGGAAGAAGAAGAAGAACAAAATTGCTTTTGGCCGCCGCACAATAATCATTATGTATATAATAATAATAATAAAAAGAAGGAGAGAGAGAAAAGAAGAAATAATAAAAAAAATGTGTGGGACTCACTGAATTTTTATGAAAACTCACCTGTTCTTTCGTTTCTTCATTCATTCCTTCGTGCGAGCTGAGCCAGAGAGAACGCGAGTCACCGGTGCGAAATATCTAAATTTTTAAGGTAAGAGTTTTTAATAGGATATTTAGGGTGTGATTTTAAGTTTTTCAAGACTAAGTAAGTGTTCTAAAAATTTTTCTTAATCATCCTTCTTCTTTGGTTTCTGAGTTTGTAGTGGTAGAAAATTTAAAATCTGGAAGAGGGATGAATTTATATTAAATACATATAGTTTTTGAGGTTGTCAGTAGTATAATAAATGTTCTAGAGTATAAATTTATTGATGATCTTTGAATTTATGGCTTATGGATCAAATTCTAAACTAGATCTGAAAATATATATTGATTTATTGAGGTTTAGATGATTATTTGGGATGAGAAATGAATTATTATGCTTATAGGATTATGATTCTAAGCTAGAGACTCAATTTTTAATTTTGGGTATTTTAGGTATGAATTTATGAAATAAAAGAAAATTTTGATAATAGAAATTAGTTTAGAAGTTGATTTTTAGATTATTAATATTTATTGATAATTAAAAGAGGAATTAAAAATTTTACTTAATAGTATTAACTATAGATTTGTATTAAGATTGAGATTAGGAATTATGTTATATTTTTAATTCTATTATTAGAATTATTTTATTAGTTTCAAAAATTGAAACTAATATTTATAAATAATATGTTATTTGTAGATTGTATTACTGGTGTGAAGATTGCGGTGAGAGAGAAATTTTAAGGAATAATTTATTGAAAAAGCCACAAGGTAACCATGCTTTTAATTTGTGATTTGTGTTACTTCATGTTAATTGGGTGATTATTGAGAAAATTATAAATTTTGTAATATTATATAATTGTGCAATATTATTATGAATTTATTTGATTATTGTGGGAAGTGTTAGGAGACTTGCTATTGTTGTTGTATTTATGTGCCACGTGGTACGTCCTTATTGGAGCTCAATAGGTGGCTTGTAAGGGCTTGGGCTAATCTACCTTTGGTTAGGTAATTTAGCACCGAGTGAGGGTTACGGCTCGAGGTTAATGGAGGGATATAAGGATGGTTATTTTGTGTATTGTAATATTTCTTATATTTGTTGGAATTATATTATTTTTAATTCTCACTTAGTAAGCACACACTTAACTATTTGTATACACTATCATAAATTGGCTTTGGTTACTGGGACTTTTAAGTCTCATTATGTGGTTAACAATTTTCAAGAGAAGAGCCACGAGTGACATGTGGAGGAGTCCCAGAGGCTTAGTGGTATAGATCCACTGTCTCTTTTGGGTATTTAATTTATGATTTATAATGTGTTATATTGCCAATATTAGGGCTTTTTATTTATTGTCAATTATATGAATATATAAATGTAATCATGCCTTTCAAACTATTTCTATTTTTGGTACAATTTGAATGATTGTAATTTTAATATTTGGTTTACTTTGGATTGGTTAAAATGGCATGATTATAAGGCTAAATAATTGGCTTGTGTTGAAAATTGGCTAAATTGCTTATTTTACTTGTTGGGAGTATAAGGATGGACAAATATGATTTAGTTTACTTGTTGGGAGTATAAGGATGGATAAATGTGATTTAGCCTAATGGCATGTAGGAGGTAAAAATTTATCTGAAATGTTATAGCGTGAAAGTTGAAGTTAATTATAAAATATTTTATATTAAAATTATTGATATAAGAATGTGTTGGGTGGCTGTAACCCAACTATGGTTGAGTTAAATTATTTAAAAAAAAATTTGGTATGTTACAATTTTAAGTTTTCATTTTTATCTAACTAACATTAGTTGATTGTTAAGTTATACCTGTTGGACCAAAATACCCTTTTTTAAATATAATTGTTGTCTAAAAATTAATCATATTACCCAAAAAATTAATGCATATTTTTTCTTTTTATTTTTTTGTTTTGTAAACGTATTTATTAAAAACAGAATTAAAAAACTCAATGGAGTAAGGATTTTTTTGCTAGAAATAAGATAATTATTTGATATGATAGATCGGTTGATATAATTTATATTTATTCTTTAAAATTTTATTAATTTTAACACAAAATTTTAAAGTTATTTATTTAAATATCTATATATTTAATTATTAAAATTTTTTAAAATTAAGAGAGAGGGTAGACAATTAGATTTAAGGGAAAATTAATAATTTTAAAATTTCAACATAATTATAAATAAAAATTAAGTATTTTAGAATCTTAAATGAAACATTCCTAACGGTGTTAACAATTGGACTAAAGTCTATGTTTTAAAAATAGAAAGGAGGTCATTGTAATTTTAACAAAATGAAAGGGATGTCACTGTATTTTACTCCATAGTTAATTAATTGCAGGGGTGTTGAAAAATAAAAATAAAGGTTAGGGGATTAATTTAAAACATTTAAAGACAAAGGAGGTCATATGTAATTATCACAAAGTTTACACAAATTTTATGTTTTTTAACCTATTCAATATTAATGATGATAATTGCATAGTCCCGTCACTTATAGAATAATAAGGAGAAGATGCTTGCTATAAGTTATTAGCTCAGGAAATATTTTCTTACAACATTGGCACCTATTTAAATATACTGTTGTAGAAGATGTAAGGGTACTTTACTAATTTTATTTATAATCTAAATATAACATTTATGGATATATTTACTCCTTTATTTTTTATTAATTATAACATGAATTAAGAGAAAATTTGGAAATGTGAGGAAAATATCATCACATCAATTGTATTTCTTAATTTTTTATGTACAAACTAGAGCCATTAATTTTGGTTATCCTCAATAAATTAGTAAAATGTTATGGCCGATTTAAGGAAATGATAATTCCTTTGACATTTAGGCTAGCCTAAATAGGTTTAAAATTTTTGGGCAAGTTGAGACACTGTTTTAGTCTATCTTGAATGAGTTCAAATTGTTATGGTGAAGCAATGTTTGATCATATTCAAGCTTTTCTGAGTAAACCCAACAACCTCAAATTACTAAAACATAGCAAAGTTTTTTTTTAAAAAACAAATTATATCTTAAAGCAGGGGGAGTGTTTAGTTTCTTTTGTTTTGATAAACTATTATTGGCACTTTTTTTAAATACATGGTCATGGCAAATCTATACAAAAAGATTAAGATCTAGTCATGTGTAAGGTTAAAAGACTTTTACAATTATGTAGGGGAACATCATAGATCATAGTTAGAAAATTGTCATGAGATATTTGATGAGTTAAGGGATCAGTGCATCTATTTATTTATCTATAAACGTGATCAAAAGTGATCCAATCTCGCATAGTAAGTTCTCTGATGTTTTTAATGGTATAAGATAATAGATAATTTTCAGAGTAGTTGTAGCTAATAAGAGATAATGCTTCCATCGAATCAAAATAAATATTAACTTCAGGTAATTTTTTATTCCAATAAAAAAAAAGGCCTTTATAAATTTTTATGAGCTCAATTACTGTACTAGATTGATATTCAATATGTTGGAAAATACCTTTGATTTAATTTCCCTCATCGTCTCTTATTGCAATCCATGCTCTTCATGTCCTGTGGGCTTTAGGGTCACAAATGAAGGGCGACTTACCAGTCCAAATAAAACCCTGCAACGACAGCGTTTTGCTCCATTCAATTTAATCTCAGTCGTCCTCGTTTTTTTCTTTCTGTTTTTTTTTGGGCCAAAAGTCGTTCTCCTGCAGCTATGGCCTGAACTCTGAAGGCTCTCTAAACGGCACATCCAAAACAAAAAAGCCGTTCACAAATATTAGAAAAGATTTACTAATTTAGTACTCTATTATGTTTCAAGTAAAATTACCTCTAAAACCAGGAAAACATAATTCAAGGGCTTAAAGTTAGGAGGACTCAATCTTCAATCAGTTTTCAACAGGCCAATCTTAATGGACTTAAAAATTAATGGATTGATCTTTTAGCCGCAAGCCGCAAGAGTCAGTTTATTTAAATCTATTTAAATTTTTTATTAAATATTAATATTTAATAAATAAAAATGAGGGGGAGGGGGATCCAAATAAGGAAAAAGGAATACAAAATTGAAAAAAAAAACCTTACATAATCTAATACTTCATTCACAGTTGCTTGTTTTTGGTTGGGTTATCTACAATTTGATTTATTTAGCTTTGAATAAGTATGACAATGATTTGGTTTGGTTTTGGAAGTTTGGACAATAATTTAGTACTTTAATATCCTAATATTTAAAATTTATTTTTTTTATTTTCATGCATTTATTTAAAAAAAAACTTTCAAAACAAATAAAAGAACTTGATGCTTGCAAGGCCAAGTGCCTGTAAGTTCAAGAATGGCTTTGCAAATTGAATTATTCTTGGGCAATTGAATTTATAGGCTCGACTTTTAAACTTAAGCTTGTCAAGAGTTGGATTGGCTCATATTTCTATCTCAACCTCCAAATAAAAAATATATAGTTGTGTGTCCATTTGAGTAAATGGCACTACCAAGATTCATTTGAATGTTTAAGTTTATTTTCTGTTTATTGGTTGAAAATAATTTGATATTTGATTAACCAAAATTTAAGTTGACATAATTTAGATAAAATCAAATTGGATTGACGGAATGAAGTATATTATTCTTAAATAAAATTGAGATCTCAAATCAATCTCAAAATCAATCTCATAATATTGTAATTCCAAAAACGTATTGAAAATTATTTCTTTTCATTATTATTTTTTATCGACACCCACGCATATGACGTTTTAAAATGCCACTTTTTTTTTCCCCTTTAATTCTACTCCATTATACAAATCACATGAGCCATTATTTACAAGACTTCATAATATACATGAAAAATGTGGGTACTTTAATACTTTTCTCTCATTCTTCTTTCTTTTCTTTTTCTTGTTAAACATGTACTTATGATACTCCTACGATCCTATTTATAAATTACTTTTAATATATTTAATTAAAATTAAAAAATATTAAATTTTATTAATTTTATCTTAAAATTTAATAAATTTTTAACTTTATCCTTAATAAATAGTTTTAAATCTTATTACTAATATTTTTATTCAAGGCATTTAATAAAAAAATGTAAAAAATGTCATTAAAAATTGAAAAATATTTTATAAATATAATTAAATTTTTTTTCATCTTATAAATAGAATTAGAAGAATATTTTCTAACAAAAAAAAATAAAAATAAAAATTGGAAAAAACCTTTGAGAAATGGGTTTTACATGTGCTTTTTAGTTTTATCCATCACGCACAGCCGCGTTGAACGCTATTTAATGAAAAAGATAAGGATAATTAACCAATGAAGGAGTTAATGATATTATTCTTCCATGAAATAAGTGTTAAGTTTTTTAAAAAAATTAATGATAATCACTTAATCAGATTCTTGATCAATTTTTTTAAAATAAATAGTAAACATTAATTTAAATGAGAATAAATAATAATAAAATCTCTTTGAATTATATAAATGATAATTTAATCTTTTAAAAAACTATAATACCAATGAAGTTCTTAGGAACTTCTTTATTAATATTTTTTTTAAAAATATTATTTTATTTTTATTAATAAATTATAACTTTTTATTTAATTTTTTAATTCTTTAAAAAAAGATGTAATTTTTTAAATAAAAATTATGAATAAAATTTATTATTTTGAGAACTTATTTTTTAATAATAAAAATTACACATAATAAATTATATTTTTTTGTTAAAATTTTGCTATTCATAGAATAAAAGTTAAAATTTTTTAATTAAAAATTATAATTAGGTCTTGTTTTTTATAACAAAATTTACACTAGACAAGTTGTGATTTATTGTTCAATTCTTATGATTTACAGAATAAAAATTGTGATTTTTCAAACAAAAATTATAACTGGGCCTTGTTATTTTTAATAAAGGTAAAATGATATCTTTTCTAAAAAAGTGATTAACGAAGAGATCTTTAAAGACTTTATTGGTATTATGGCATTTCAAGTGATTAAATTAATATTATTATTATTTTTTTAAATAATTACATATTCATGAGTTCTAATTATAAAAAAATCATTTAAATTCTAAAAATAACTCTTTTCTAATTGACATTTATGTTTGCAATTATCTAAATTAATGAAGAATCTAAAGCGTCATTAATTTTTATTTTTGGGTTTATTATCATCCCCTCTTATTATTATTCTCTTTTAAAAAGTAATACTATTCTTTTCTTAAAAAATCATTAAAAACTGAAGTTAAAATGTACCCCATCCTCCAATCTCAGCAAAATTGCAGGGGGGGTGGTTGGATCATGCTGATAATGTCAAGTGTCACAAGTAGTACTAAAAGCTACTCAGGCTTTCTTCAGCGGTGCATTGCTGCTGAAGGACGATCGCACCATCTCCTATCAGCCATGGTTAATTTGCAATGCAGAGCTCCGTATTCATATAAGGCAAGTCCATTAACAAATTCGGTAATTTTCACTTTTACTCTTACTTCTCTCAGGGGTTCTTTGTCGGTTTCTGTTGTTCATTTTCATCAGTTCGCAATGAAAAAACCATATGGAACGATATTTCGCATCTTGTGCTCTGCTTCCGCATATATATGGATGGAAATGATAAATGCGGTTGTTATTTCTGCGAGATTGTTCTTGATTAAAATTTGGTGGAATGGGTCAAACTGGATATTGGGGGATGATGGGTATTGAAGTTGTAACATTTAGGGTTGTACGTGTTGGGTGATTTAATTTTACGATCTGTATACGTTAGTTGGTTAGAATGTTAATTAACTTTCCCCCACAACGATCTTTACAAATTATAACAGAACAAACAACTATTACTAGGTTGGTTATTATTAGACACTGATAGGTATCTGAAAGGCGGCAGACACTGATAGAAATCACTTGTTGCTAGCTATCCATCTTTCACTTTCGGGATCCTTTTTTTTTTCCCCTTTAATTTATTTTGGGCATTATCTTTCTTGAGATTAACTATGAAGGTATGGTTGTTCTTAGATTCACATATAAGGAGAAGAATATGACCTACTTTCCCCTCATTTCCTTGTTTTCTCATCTTCCTTTTTTTGAAATTTTTTTTATAATACTTCTTAACTAGCATATTTCTTTTGTCCTATTTTCAATTCAAGGTTTTAGACTGAAACATGCACAAATAATGGATAGCATCAAGTGACAGCACTTTCCCGATTCCATTTATCACCAGTATTTTACGGCTGTGATAGTGTGGTTGAGACAAAATTCTACATTTCCTAATCTGTACTGACTGACGAATACTGATGGAGACAACTTAGCCTGGAAAAAAAAAAAATTCCAAATCAACTGAGAAAAGTTGATTCTGATGGAAGAAGCACATGGTTGTTCTACGTCTAGTCCTCCTGAATTGGCCTTATCTCATGACAGTGGTCAGAGGTCTATTTTCAATGGCCATGTGAAGAAAAGAGGTCATTTAAGTCGTTCTTGGATAAAAATTGATCGGAATGGGAATTCACAGATTGTGACACTGGACAAGGCTACTATTATGAGATATTGTTCTTTGCCTTCAAGGGATCTCAGACTATTGGATCCTATGTTCATTTATCCTTCTAGCATATTAGGACGGGAAAAGGCAATTGTAGTCAACCTTGAGCAAATCCGGTGCATAATCTCCGCTGATGAGGTTTTCCTGATGAACTCCTTGAATGGCAGTGTTGGCCAATACAGGTCGGAGTTATGCAATCGACTTCAGAGAGAAAAATCTGGTAAGAAGCCTAAATCTTTCTGCGGCAAATTTGACACCAATGCATGAAGCACATAGAGAAAAATAGTTTATATGTAGTTGAGAGTTGAGACTGATACAATAGTTCTACTGTTCCCAATGTTCTTTTATTACGTAGCACTGCCAGAAATAATGCAAAATGATGTAGAGAACGCATTGTTTGTCGTGATTCTTGTTTTAAGGAAAGAGCTGATGACACTAAACTGAAAATGATACATCTCCTTCAACCTTTAGTAGCTCTTACAATCTTGTGCCCTGGAACTAAGTTTGTTGGTTATACTTAAAAATTGCACTAAGTTTTTGGAGGTCTTTGATGAAGGTAGCCACAGTGTAAAATTTCTGACATGCATGTCTTTTTGGTCCAGATGATCTGCCTTTTGAATTTTGGGCATTGGAGCTGGCTTTGGAATTGACATGCACGTTTTTAGATGCTCAGGTATCAATTACCTACATCGTTGCACCCTATTTGTTTTAGGCAGACTGCATCTTTTCAGCAGCACCAGTATTATTTCTACACTTTTCCCCATCATAGATGATCACATTGAATTGAAACCCTTGTCTATATTGTGGTTATATTTCTTCTCACGTTTCATTTGCAGTACAGTATTTCTGTGCTGTACTTCATTAACTATCCTCTTCAGTTTTTGCCAAGTTTAACTAACTCAAAACTGAAGCTTTATTACTCTGTATTGTCAGAATACATGTTTTTCCATAATTCATTTTAATTATTTTAATTATTATCGATTTTTTCTTAATTGTCCTTGTCTGTTAGGCTGCATATGAGAGATTGGTCAAACAGACTGGGGACAATTGGAGCCTATGTCATTCCACAGTAGGAACTGAGCACATGCGGGGCATGTAAAATCATGGATTCTAACCTGCTTAGTGTTATTTTTAGGACAGTGTGTAAGGGGTTCACGTCAATTGGAATGATTAAGGAACATTTTTCTTCAATGATGTTAAGTTTATGATGCAACATAGGACAGGCTTGGTTACCTGAAAAGATGCATGGTGTTATCTTATGGATTTTCGTTACCTTTGTTACTGCTTTTGGCTGCTTTCTTTATGTAATAGATTCCAGTGGTACTGCTATTGGTTGCTTTAACTGTTCTCATAGCTGAATCTTATTATTGAGCCTACTCAGTTTTTTGTGTGCGTATCACTCCCTTTTTGGTATTTTTGGATGAGGTGGCTTACATAATTGTATCATGTAATTCAATGATACCATGCAAAAAAAATTTGATAATTGTTCATGTGTATATTTTTAGATGTCATTGTTATTTCATCAAGTATATACAACAAACTCATTGACAGTGGTAATTAATATTGAAGCAATAATATGTCAGCTCTTATTCCTTAGATGAAGAAAGTTGTTGATTTAGTAGGTCAATGAACTCGAAATGGAAGTATATCCAGTGTTAGATGAACTGGCCTCATCAATCAGTACTCAAAATCTAGAACGTGTTCGAAGATTTAAAGGTCATCTACTTGCTCTGACTCAGCGAGTTCAAAAGGTCGATAGAAATAATCTTCTTTTATTGGGGTATTATTTAACCTTTCTACTACTGGCAATTAGTAATTTATGTCAACTACCAGGTTCATGATGAAATAGAACAACTCATGGATGATGATGGTGATATGGCTGAAATGTGCCTGAGCGAGAAGAAGAGAAGATCAGATCCTTACCCAAATGACCTTGGTCTTCAAACTCACAGGTCACGTAGTGTAAAAGTGATTTCAAAATCAGCTCCTGCTTCACCAGATAGGTCCATTAGTGGGGTCCGGATGTTACAAAGGGCTTTCAGCAGCATTGGAAATTCGAGTAAACATGAGAGTCTTACAAGTTCTTCTGATCATGCAGAAAAGATTGAGCCACTGGAAATGTTACTTGAAGCATACTTTGTTGTCATTGATAATACTCTTAACAAGTCATTGTCGGTAAGAGAAATTTGACTAACTCAAAAATAGCTTTCAGGCTAATCCACGCTGCTTATAAATTTCAATATTGGTACATTTTATTTAATATATATGTTGATAAATAAGGCACATATATTACCTGAGTTGCTGAGTTATATCTTCAATCAATTGCCGAGGACAATCATCTTCTTTCTTTTCTTTAAATACGTTATTTGTGAAAATGATCACCTATATGTCTATCTGCCTGTCTATATAAGAGGCAAGATCGGCACATGGTTTGATAATTTGAAAGATGGCATGTTGACCGGACATTGAGAATATTTGCTTTTGCCGGTGATGCAGCTCAAAGAATATATAGACGACACTGAAGATTTTATCAACATAAAATTGGTACGCTGTGATTGACTATTGGCACCTTGTTTCTGTCAATTCCTTTTATTGTTTCACATGCTAAATTATGTACATCAGATTTCCTTGATGTTTCTATTCGTGTGTCTGACAGGGAAATATTCAGAACCAACTCATACAATTTCAGTTGCTTCTTACAGCAGCAACATTGGCAGCTACAGTATTTGCAACTGTGACAGCAGTTTTTGGAATGAACTTTGAAACCCCCGTTTTTGATGATCCATGTGCATTCGATTTAGTTGTGATAATCACGGGAATTGCTAGTGCGGTCATGTACGTCCTTTTTATAGTTTGCTATAGGTGCAAGAGAATTGTTCCAGTATAAAGTGCACTCCACTGGGATTTTGAAATCCAAGTGGATAAATCTAATTGGAGTGCAGGTTTTGACATACTGATATTTCTAATGGTAAAACCGAGAAATATAATCCACGGATTTTATGACACCTGTGATGACCAACTAGATTGCAAGTGGACAATGTGCGCTTGGAACCACCTTTTTGGGTGCCAAAAACACGGTTTTGGCAATATGTATTTGGATTAATGAGGATTTAAACTTGATCCGAATTTTTCATTTATATACATAAAAAATTTGGATTCAATTCATATTTATTTTTTATTACAAATTTTTTTGTAACTTTAAATTTCTTCTATATCATAGTTATTTAAAATTTCAGTTATTTCAAACATTTTGTTCTCTTTATATTTTTATTATTAATAATTCTATGATTTTCTTATCTCTCCTTAGCGTCTCTCATCAATTAAAAAGCAAAGATAAAATTATCACTCTCAATTTTTTATTTTTGTTTTGAGTTTTAATTCATTTATCTTATTCACTTGAAATTTTTTAAATTATCTAAATAAAAAATTTTAAATATATAAATTTTAAATGTAAGATTTAAAATATAAAATTAAAGTTTAAATCTATCAATTCAAACCATATTTAACTTGATTTTAAACACATCGATAGTGGTACATCAGGAGTGAATTTGATTGAAAGTGACATGACTGTATCTAACGTGCCTATTTGTTAATTTGTAATTATCCTGTTTACATTTTTGTTTTCATTTATTCCCAAAAAAGTTTTCCAATGTCCCAGAGTTTCAATATGGTGGAATCTCGCGCTGATGTCGGGGTCTACTGCTCACTGCCTGGTGCATCAAGGTGCGATTTCACTAGAAGAATAAACCATTTATAAGTTATAACGCGAGCAGCATCATTTTCACTATTTTATATGATTATTTGATTAAATAAAATTCGAATATTATAAACAATTGGAGATAGTTCTTTCAGATATTTTTTAATATTCATATAAACTAGAACAAACTCCTCCATACACTGTACTGGAAGTATTTGCTGACACAACATTATATAAAAGATCATGTTTATTATTGTCATGAGTATCATACTATCATTTACTCTCTTGTGCGATGCTCGAGAAGTATATATACTTCCATTGAAATGAATTTAAGAGTTTTTACAAATAAATATTACCAAAAATAATTTCAATGATCATCACCACCAGACACCTAAATTATATTATTGTACTTACAATGTTGTGAAAGATGAAGGAACTAAATTTTAAAAAAAGAGCTTCTTTAGATAAGAAAAGAGGGAGATTAAAAAAGAGTTATCAAAAAAGAAATAGTATTTAAAAATATCTGACATAAAGTTATGCAACCACTAATTATCTCATACGATGTAGGGAAGCAGTAAATATTAAATACAGCCATCATTAAAACATATATTCGAGTGATTGCTAACTCCATGCTTTTAACTAATAAAATCACTGAAAAAATTTACAATACATAATGAACAACAATTACATAAATAAATAAAAACAACCTAGACACCTCATAATTGGTTTTCAAGATGCATGACTCATCAAAGCAATTTAAATATATTAATTAATATTTCCCTGCAAAAGATGTCAGGTAATTAATTGGTAATTTCACAATTATAATATGGTGCCTAACTAAAAAATATCTTGCAATTCTTGATAGAATGGTAAACATGGAATCTAAATCAATAGAGTTTTGCAAATAAATGGTACAAAAGGATACAATAATCATTATAAGCATCTAAATCATATCATCGCATTTACAATGCCAATGAATATGAAAGAACTAAAGTAAAAATTAACTTATTTAAATGTAAAGAAAAAGAGAAATAAAAAAAAGAAAAAATGACAGTTAAGTCTTAAAGGGAATAATTAATGACAATTAAATATTTGATAATTTTTTTTAAAAATAAGTTAAAAATATCAATTAAAATAATTGTAAATTCAAAAATTTTAATGACAAATAATGCATATAAATTATAAAAGTAACTCTTAATTTGCAATTGAGATTTCTGTTTGCAACAACCTGAATTAACATTCACAACTCATTTTTTAAAAAATTTTATTAGAAATTTAATTGTCATTAATTCCTTCATTCAGGACTTTATTGTGATTAGATTATTAATAAAAAAATGATTACAGAAAAACTAATATTAAATTAACTCATCTAACCACTGAGTACTGCTCAAATAGCAATAACTTAACTTGTCTAATCACAAAACAGAATTTTGTTTGGTTCCATGCAACTTTTTATTTTAATTCCTTCACAATATTTTAACATATTTTAGCATGATTCAAATACTAAAAACGGTTTATCAATCTTCACATATTTTTGAGTTACAACCGCACAATGCATCCCATATATGCTTGTGACGTTGGGGGCTAACGAGTCTATCTTGTCCCACATTAGGAAGTGGCAACATGTAGCTTAAGCCAGAATTGGTACGTAGTCTTAAAAGATGAATGTCTTCCAAGGGAGAATAAATTGCATTATAAGCAGCAAAAGCTACGTGGAGATGATTGTTGTATGTGTGTCAAAAGTGTGTGTGTGTCAAAGTCTCACATTGACTAAAGGAAGGAATCTCTTAGTGTATATATACTAAGGAATGAAGTAGGCTAGTAAAATGGGCTTGGAGGAGAAGTGGTCTCGCGCACATGAGACAAGCCAATTCAGGGCAATCGCAGTTGAAATCAGCCGATTCGTCCCTCCTGTGCGCGAGTTCAAGAGATAATGGGTTCCTTTTATTGGATTATTTTTACAAAATAAATAATTATTTTTTACCTTGCCGGAGAAACTCAAATTTTGGCTGTCTGAAGTTTGAAACTAAACCAAAAACGTTTTTTGATCATTAACCAAATTAATTTTTTGAACGTTTTGCCTTCCCAATGTTTCCAGACAGGAGGTTAAATGCAGTTTATGTTTGTGTAACCTCTCTGTTTTCAGACAAGCTTTTAAACGATTTTATGACAGTGTAACCGAGCATAGCGGTGCGGAGTCTCTTGACTGCTCAGTGTTCTCTCCTCCAACTATTTTCGTTTGTGCATTTGGTCTCGATTGTTCTGTTCCCTCGTTCCACTGAGGAAGTGCTTGTTTAATCCTGGGGAACTGCCGGTCGTCTGACGGTGTGCCGGAATAGTTCTTAAGGACAGTGTCCTTCCGGGCACGACTCGAGCAACCCGTACCTTCCCGTTCGCGTTTCTGCCGGTCACCTCAACAATGATTGTCATAGGAACATAATGACGTAAGAACATCACTATTTCTGTTAAAGATTACACAAAAGCAAACAAGTTTCATGACTAAAGATTACACATCTATGAATCTATAAACAAAAATTCGGATTTGTCAATTTCATTAGCTGGCATCCAACTTGCTACTTTTTTTTTTTTTTTTGGGTGACGCAAGGAGTGTATAAAAGGTAAACCAACCAGCTAGTCACTGCTGGTCAATCGGTCATATTAAATAAAATATGAAGACATTCCAGCTCAACCCAACCAAGTCATTTTTTGTCGTCCAGTCATGTATCTTTATCTCTGAATGTTTTTTTTTTTTTTGGTAAGCATAAGGAGTAGATTTCAATTATTTCCTTAGGTACTAAGGGTAAAAAGTAAGTTTCCTCCATTGAAATTGTTACATACATAAGAGTTGGGATTTGAGTCTTCAATCATTTACTTAAGTAATAAGAGACCCTACCATTTATATTAATTTTAGTTGGTATCACTATCTCGGAATATGACTGCAATTAAATGAGTTTGAATATGTCATATGGCTTCTTGTGATGGTGATGGCACTTTTAGGCTTTTAGCTTGCTTTTCCTTCTTTCCCCGTCACTCGTGGCTTCTATGGATGATGCTTGAATGAATGTAATGACTTTTCAACACAAACAATTGTACTATTCCAATCCTACTGACTAATATATATGAAGCAGGTATTGAATGAAGAACTATAATCTCCACACTTGGTTCAGAAATTTCAAAGCTCACCGACAGCGAATCTTTATATGACTGGATTCTCTATCCTTAACTCGATTCGGTCAAATTTAGTTAGCTTGTTAGAGTAAGGCTGTCAAATGTTGGCCGGCAGAGAGGACATATGAAAATAAATAGGGAAGAACTTTCTAACGATGATGTTAGCTTTGGACTGGTGTATTATATCAACACACAATTTATATAGTCTTCAAATTATTTTCATTTTTCACTAGACAAGAATCTTATTACTGATATACTTGATTCTGAATCTAAAGGAGTTTGATCTCTTGTCGTTTTAACATGAGAAAACCTTAGCGTAAAAGACAGAGGGATATATCAGTGTCAAAGTTTCATCACATTCTCATTCTTCTCTACTTTTGAAATAAATTATTCTCTTGTTCAAAAAGAATGAGTGATTATAAATTTATTTTACTTAAATTATCCTTTCGTAATATTTAGTTTATTGTAGAGGTTGAGCTTGATTTGATCCAAGAGAGGCGACGTCAACCAAAAATTAAATTTGCTTGGAGTGCAAGTACAATTTTCTCACTTTCCTGTAAACCACTGCAGCAGATGGAGGTATTATGTTCTCACTTTCCTCTACATTATTCCAAGAAACGTTTTGCCACTATTTTATTCTATTTTGTTATTCAATCTTTTGATTAGGATAACTCGGCCAGATCAGTTTTTAAGTCTAGGTTGGAGATTGATTTTTTGTTTTGATACACTGGTATTAATATATTACTTCTTCAATGCTTCTGTTTTTGAGGATCAAACATCTTCAAGACTAAAATTTTGCAAAACTTCAGCAAGAGAACTTTCAATTTTGCGCACACAGTTACATACAAGATATAAATGCAAACTCATGTTGAGAACCTAGTAGCTAGGCTAAAAATAATAAAATGCAAAGACACATGATCTGAATTTCGAAAATATAAAAGGGCTGTTTGCAAATGAGTCAAAGCACAGAAGGTATCTGCCCTTTTCACCTCAGAGTATTTATTGCATGTTCGCTTAATTCTGAATATGAAACTTTGATATGGCCCTCAACAAATGCTTCTTCCAAACAGATCACCTCTGCTAGATAAAGTACATATTTGCACAAGAAGATAAGAATAAAGGCTCTGATACATTAATC